ATAGAGTCAGATTAAAATGTAATTTATAACATTTAACAAAATAAATAAAAAATACAACAAAACATAAATCATGTAATATGTACTCTTCTGAGTCAGCATGCAACCGCTGGGTTTCTGGTGTATGGTTTAGAGACCTCGATTTCTATCTGAGTTTGACACCACTGATCTGGGCCAATCCTCTTATTTTTCAGACCAGGAAATTGAGACCCAGAGAAGTAAAACAACTTGCCTGGGTTCATACAGGTAGAAAAGAGGAAGAGATGGGATCCAAATTCTGGTCCTTTGAGGCCAAAGCCAGCGTTCTTCCCATTACTCCAGAAATTTAACCCATGTATTCAAAGAAGTCAGTGTGGTAACATTCTCCCTCCTACTTAATTGAATTTATTTTAATTATTTCTTTTTCTTTTCTTTTTTTTTTTAATATCAAGAACTACCCAGTTAATTTGAGGGTATATTTCCTGCTGCTTTCCTCTAGCACCAAAATTCTTTGTTATGTCTATGCTTCCTAGGGTTTCACAGTAGGGGGACCCCCTATCTAGTCTATGAACCAACAGGGGGGACTGATCCTCACCACCACCACCAACAAGGAACCAAGGACGTTCTGAACCTAGATCTATCCCATTTTCTCTACCTGGGCCAGGAAAAAGCTAAAGACTGCATTTAATACATCATAGGATCATAGATTTAGAACTACAAGGAACTCAAGATGACATTGAATCCAACCCCCTTGCCCCATTTTACAGATGAGAAAAGTGTGCACAGAGAGGGTAGGAGAATTATTCAAGACCTCATAGCTGGATAATCAATGTTCAAGGCAGAACTTGAAACCAGGTCTTCCTGGCTACAAGTCTATCCCATCAGACACTATAGCATGCTACCTAGGTCTATTTTTGTTCTAAAGATTAGGTTTTAGCACTTAACTTTTCTAGATTAGAAAAGCAACAGCTTCTAAAGGCAGTGAAATCTGGGGACTGTGGTCTTGCTCCATTTAACTTTGTGTGCATCACGGGCCCCAGACTGCTCTGATTATTGCCCAGAGTTGCAGAGTTCTTCCCTCTCATCCCTCGAGGGACGAATAGACTGGTTTCCTTGAATAAACTCTATGATGTTTTTGCTTGTGATCAGGCTCCAACCTCACATAGCTAACGCTGAGCTCAGTTGTTGTCACCATGGTGTTTTCCAAGCAGAAATGTCATGGCTAAGATAGAAATTCGTCATCACTTTCCTAAGCACTGGGTTTCTCAAAATCAAAGTAGCTCTTACACCTTCGTGGCCATTACCATCACTGGTGAATGATGGTGAAGCCCTCACGTATGAATTCCTAAGAGAAGCAGCTATGATTTCATTCCTCCCCCAAAACAGATGGCAATGATCACTCTCAGTATAGTGGTATCAAACTCAAATGAGGCCACGAAACCAGACATAAGGATCCCCATGGGCTGTGTATTGACTCAGAAAACCACATAATAACATTCTCTATGTTTTTTTTTAATTTTCATTTATTTTGTAAAATATTTCCCAATTATATTTTAATCTGGTTACGGTGCCAGAGCATGTTGTGGGCCTCATGTAGCCAGCATGTTTGACACTTTTGACTTAGTCCATAAGTCCCATGGAGCTGCCTGAGGTACAGGGAAATCAACCAGATCCCACAGTTAATAATTGTCAAAGATGGTATGTGAACTTGGGGCTTCCTGGGTCCAAGTCCAACACCATGCTACCTCTTTTCCTCTTCTGAGATTACCTCAGTACCTAGCAGGGGAAACTGAGTTAGGAAGAGGTTTCTGATCTCTTACCTTTGCCAAAGGAGGCGGCTATTCCATTCATAAAGTGGGTGAAAGGCTTGTTAGGGGAGCCCGGGATATCCAAAGACACCACAGAGTTACTGCTCAACAGATCAATCTTCCCCGCCTGCTGCCGAAACTTCTCCAGCTCCCTAGACAGGAGGTTGAACTGCTCACTTTGGGTCCGACATTTTTCTTCCAGTTCTCGAACCTTGGACTGCACAACAGGGGCATGGAGTTAGGGTCAGTGGGGAAGCAGGCCCCCAGAGTGGGCTGGTGTGGCAGGAGACTGGCTCCTGGTTTGTAGAGTGAAGAAAGGGAAGAGTGGGTGAAAGAAATTCAGGCTATGTGAGGCCCACACACACTGCCAGCTGAGTCACTGGCCCAGTTCCATCCAGTATTAATGTATAAAACCAGAGGTACCAAGCTGTCTGGCAAGCATTAGGAAGATGCTGCTCAGGATTTCTGGGCAGCCTGCATCTTTTGGGAGTGGGAGGAGGCAGCCTCTGTCTCTGGGAGTTTGATTTGAAGGCATTAGCCTGGGATGTAGGAGGAATTGGGTGGAGTGGCTCATTGGCTATCAGTCTGAGGCCCTACATTGTTAGACATCCCTAAGAAAGTAGCCTTTTTCACTAGGGGGAAACTGATCTTGGTCTGTCTCTACCAGGTTCAGGTCTGCAATGTAGAAGGTCTCATAGCCCTTGTATGGGGTAGGATATATGTATATGTTATCTCTCCTGAGAATGTAAGGATTGTCCCATTCTTTGTATATGCATCCCCAGTGCCTATCAGAGTGTGTGGTGCATAGTAGGTGCTTAATGCTTATTGAACGATTGATTATTCTGGTGAACGCAGTTAGGGCAAGGACAATTCATAGGCAGGGGCTTCACTTTGGACAAAATTAGGAAGGAAAAGTCCAATCAATCCACCCATCAATAAACATTTATTGAATACCTGTTACGCACCAGACACTATGCTAGGTGCTGGGGATCTAGACAAAAGCCAAAGAATCCCTGCCTTCAAAGAGCTTACATTTTAAAGGTAGGGGGAGATGGCATGTGTAACATATATACATTTAAATAGATACAAATATATACCAAATAAATACATACAAAGTCTAACAGCTTAGGAGTCGGGTGGGGAGGAGGAATCAAGGAAGGCCTCATGTAGAAGGTGGTGGTTGAGGTTACCCTTCTATCTCCTCTTTCCTCTCGGTCCCTCCTTCTTCCCACCTGTCCACCTCTATCCAACAAAGCAGAGCTCAACATGAAAGACTGTAAGTCATGGTATGCCACCTTCCAGCGTCCTTAGCGTCTTCAGCTCTTACTGTGACACGTGGGGTGGTGAGCTTCACTAGCTGGGTGATCTTGGGCAATCTTGTCTTCACGTCTCTTAGCCTCAGTTTCTTCATCTGATAAATGGGGATAAAAACAGCCCCTGCCCTCCCTCTCCTGTCTACCTTATAGGGTTACACTGTGGATGTTCAGGATACTTGGGGCAGATAGGGCAGAGTAGACAAAGCTTGGGTTTGAGTTTCATCCGTAATACATGACATTCTAAAAGTCTTAGGGCCATTTAAAGCATTAATAGCTAAAATAGTTATTAAATAGCTATTTAGGGGAGAGGAGGGGGGGATAGGAATAAGCAGTTATATAGTACCTGCTATGTGCCAAGAATTGTGTTAGGCCCCTTTTACAAATATCTCATTTGATCCTCAGAAGAATCTTGGGAGGTAAGTGTTGTTATTATCCCATTTTACAAATAACAAACAGAGGTTAAGTGACTTGCCCAAGGTCACACAACTAATTAAGTATCTGGTGCCAGATTTGAACTCAGGACTTCTTGACTTGAACAAATTATTTAATTAATTACTGACAAATAAATAAATAGACTGTTAGATAAATGAATTGGTGAATTCCCTGACTTGTTGAAATTAAAAAAAATTTATTTATTATGTATTAATTTAATTATTATTTATTCCTGACTTGAGGCCCAGCACTCTCTCCACTGTATCACATATTTAGCTAATTAATTGATCTTAGGCAAGCATCTTCATTTCTCTGATGGTGAATTTCTTCATCTGATCAAGGAGCATAAGAACATTTGTCTGCCTGCCATGCCAACCCTGCAGGGTTGTTCCAAAGATCAGATGAGCTGATCGACAGAAAGGAGCTTTGTGAATTATAAGATGCTATTATACACCTTTAAAGATTACTAATAACAATCATCATTTATAATTGTCTCATAAATAATGATCCACATTTATAAAATGGTTTAATGTCTGCAAAGCACTTTACAGGCACTGTTTCATTATATCCTCCTTAAGTCCCTTCCAGGAAGGTGCTATTATTATCCCCATTTACAGATGAGGAACCAAGCATTGATTAAGCTCCTAATGTGTGCAGTCTTGTGCTAGGGGACAAAGGAGATATGACATTTAAATAATCTCATTCCTGCCCTCATAGAACTCAGAGTCTAGCGCTGATACTATAGAATAAAAGGTTTTGTTCTTCAAGAGATTTCAGAAAGAAGGTGGGGGTGGGGGAGATCGTTTCAGAGATGGAGCATAACCATTTCCCTTGGAATCATGTACTACATAGACAATCACTAATAAGTGTCTGGGGTCAGATTTGAACTCAGGTCTTCCTGACTCCAGGCCTGGCACTCTCTCCACTGCACCAATTACTTAATATAAGACCTGCTCAGTGCCACATCATTTTATCATAGAGTCTCAGCATGGGAAGGGATCTCAGTGGCTATTTAATTCAACCCATCCCTGAGCAAGAATCCCATCTACAATACCTCTGACTTGTAGTCATCCAGGCTTTGCTTGAAGTCCTCCAGGGACAGGAACTCACTACCTCCTCTACACTTGGCTGATCTGGATGCTTTGCCTTATGGGGCATCCTTTGGCACAGGCAACGATTGATATGAACTCTGTACTCCAACCTCATTCAAAGTTCTGGTATTTTAAAATGGTGGTCAATCTTCCTCCCTCCCCCACAGGCTCAGTGAGCCTGCTGATTTCCCTGGTACAGAATGAAGCGCTATTTGTTTCTGTGAACACAGCTTTCTAAAAATAAGCCTAATGAATTCCAAACCTATAATTAATCTCTTCAATTCATAAAACATCAGTAAGTTTATTCCTGCTCAGAAAAAAAAACTGAATGGATTAGGCTGGTGATTTATCCTTCCTTCCATGGAGAAAATAATCAACAACTGAAACCCAGGGGCTGCTAAAAATGTCCTTCCAAGTGGATTAACTTTGTCTTCTTTGCCCTCTTCATATCTACCTGAGCTCAGTCCCCCCCAAACACTTTCTGAATTCACCTTGACTCCATTTCTTCTAGAATTCCCTGGTACTGGGGGACAGCTAGGTGGCACAGTGGGTAGAGCACTGGCCCTGAAGTCAGGAGGATCTGAGCTCAAATCTGGTCTCAGACACATAATACTCACTAGCTATGTGACCCTGGGCAAGTTACTTAACCCCATTGCTTAGCANCAGTCAGGAGGATCTGAGCTCAAATCTGGTCTCACACACATAATACTCACTAGCTATGTGACCCTGGGCAAGTTACTTAACCCCATTGCTTAGCAAAAAAAAAAAAAAAAGAATTCCCTGGTAACCATCAGTATATAGGTCACAGACCATAGAGTCACACGATCTCAGGGTGGAAAGGGACCTCACAGACCATATGATCCAATCCACATTCCAAAAAGAATCCCCACTACAATATATCCAACAAAAGGTCAATCTACCCTTTGCTGGAAGACCTCTAAGGAGGGGGAAACCCTTTGCTCCTGAGGCTCAAGGTCAAACCCAAGGTCAAAAAGGAAAGGGCAGCTCCCATACAGTTTTCCAATTAAGGAGAGATAGCATGATGCGGTAGACTTGGATATGGTTCTAATCTTGGCTCAGCCACCACCTTTGTGACCTTGGACAAGTCTGTTTCATTTTCCCCATCTGAAGGGGCTAGGCTAAATGATCTTTAAAGTTCTTTTTAGCTTGAAAAACCAAGATTCTAGATGCTTAAAAGATAAGACTTAGGGATCCCTTTCCTTAGTCTTATAGAGTCAAGGCCAGCAGCTTGGATATAAGAGAATAGGAGGAGTTTTCTCATTCTTGACACTCCTGGGAAGGAAAGACTAAGGCTAAATCAATGTGAAATTATGATAATACAGATATTCTTAGGATGAGAGCTAATCCAATTCCCTCATTTTACCAACAAGGAAGCTAAGGTATAGGAACATTAACAATGGGGAAATTTATCGGATGTAAACTTGCCCAAAGTCACAAAGGTAGTCATACATATCTTACCTGTCACAGCAAAAGAAAATTTGAACCCAGATCCTCTAGGACCAAGTTGTTTAGATCCTCTGGGACTCACTGTCCCCTCCAACTCCACCACAGCACCTTTTCCCAATGCTGATGGCATTAAGATTAGACCCAAGGATATGGAGGACAGAAGAGAGGCAGAGAAGGGATTCCAGCTATTCTTTGCCCCATTTCCAATCAGTTTTCAGTAGGCTGATTGATCTCAAAATGCCAAATTCCTCAAAATGCAGAGAAATCATGGGCAAGGCTGTTAAATGAATCTAACTGGGGCTAACTGCATAAGACTAGATGTAGGTTACACCATAATAGTTTGTCCCACTGTGCTCTGTGTTAGAGGGCCATTTAAGCAGCCCTGGCTATACCACTACCCCCAGACATGTGGGGTTTGGG